CCTACAGTAGAAGCCCAAAAGTTGTAAACCGAATAGCTTCATCCCTTAAGAGTAATGTATAAGGAATCCCAGCACTATTTGGCCTTAATCGTGGTTCCAGCTTTATGGGTTTACTGTAGGACCTGACAGCCTTCGAGGCCCCAGCAACTCGAAAACTGAACCTCTAAACTGCGGAACCTAAACCTGATTTTTGGGTTGAGGATATTACTTTGATAGACAACGAACCAACTTTCAAGTTTCAAGAGGCTAACATATTATTTGTCCAGAAAAGACTCAGAAACAAACTTTGAAGTTTCAAAGGCGCCTCGAAGCCCAGTCTGATAAACAAACAAGCCTGCAAGCTCAAACTGAAACCACTAGCCCTTAATCCCACTTGTAAGGTCGAAGAGATCTGTGCATCATAAGCGCAACCAGGATCCTTTTCAGAGTGCCTACAACCATACTAGTACCTACTTACTAAGTTCCCTGACCCTCCAAGTGAGCAGAGGTTGATGTTGGACACAGCCCCGATTGATAGGTAGACCTCATTGCAGATGAAATAGAGCCCCGAATTTGTAGGGCACCCAAACCAGGGAACCCTGAACCCTAAACCCTAAACCGAACTTCAAGCCGTAACCCTTAACCCTCCATCCTCGGTGGTTGGCGTGTTCAAGGCTCCCCGAAGCATATAACATGGTTTGAGGTTGGTTTATGGTTTAGGGGTTTAGGGTTTAGGGTTTAGGGTTTAGAAGCCCAAAAGTTGGAAACGCAATAGCCTCAATCATTAAGAGTAATGTATAGGGAATCCCAGCACTATTGCCCTTCATTCGGTTTCCAACTTTATGGGGTTTACTTTAAGCTTTTGAGTTTAATGCCTAATTACAGTTTATACACACTGGGCCTTGGGCCCGCCGGGGGGAAGTTGCGGAAAACTCTTGGGGCACTTGGAGGGTCATTGGACTTAGTGAGTAGGGTTCTATTTCAAGTAGCTACAGACTACAGTTATAGACCCAGGGAGCCCAATACCCTTTAATCAAGGAGTATAGCTTAAATCAGAACATGAAAACCTATATAATTCAGGCCATATTCCTTAATTAAGGGGTATTGGGCTCTCTGTGGACTTCTGTAGTCCCATGATCATCCAAGTAGACCCTAAACCCCAAACCCTTACAGTACCCGTATAGATCCCTTAAGGGGACCCTATAGATCTCTTTAAGGAGCCCTTGAAGGAACCCTACTAGGTCCCATGATCCTTTAAGTAGAGAGTTCAAGGGATGAGATGAGAGGTTATGTGAAACCCTAACCGGCTTAGGGTTTAGGGGTTTAGGGTTTAGCATCCTCAACCTGCAACCTCTAACGCCAAAGCCCTGCCCACCCTAAGCTTGACTTACCGGTCCAAAACCCAGCTTTTCAACTTTTGGGCTCTTATGAGGTAGTCTTATTCTGAAAGTTTGAACTTTCAAGCCCTGGGGTTCTTGGGGAAGTCAGTTGAAGCCCGGTGGGGATTTTGGGAAGTAAGTTGGAGCCCTATCGCTCAGTGCAACCGACAGGCAAACGGTCCCACGGTTCGCCGCCCGCTCTTCGGCAACCTTACCAAGGCCTGCCTCGGAGTTGCTGGGCTTTAGGGTTTAGGGTGTAGAGTTTAGGGTTTAGGGTGTAGATTTAGGGTTTAGGGTGTAGGGTTTAGGGTTTAGGGCTACTACAAGGGTTTTGGGTTTACAGCAGAAGCCCCAAAAAGTTGGAAACCGGATTAAGGCCAAATAGTGCTGAGATTCCCTGTACAGTACTCTTAAGGATTGATGCTATTGGGTTTCCAACTGTTGGGCTTCTACTGTAGGGTTTAGGGTGTAGGGTTTAGGGTAGGATCCCTTTTCGGGGTCCTTTATCAGGGCTACTGTATGTAGGAGCTTCTTGAAAGGACCCTGTTTGAGGGTTCCTTTTAAGGGTCCTTGAAGGTTTCTTCGCAAGGTTACAACACGGTGTAAGTTTAGGGCTTCAATATAGCAGCTCTGATGAAGGAACCCCACCCCACTTGTCTTGAAGATTCCTGAATGAAGTTGTGGTTTGCTGGAGTCTCTACGTCTAACCTCACCCTTAAAACCCCAGCTGTCTAAGGATTTCTAAGTATATCTTAAACCCTACGTGAAACTACCATAGCCGACTCTTCTTTGGTTCTTACTATAAACCCTAACATGAAATTCAGAGGAATCATACAACGTCAAGGTATTGTTTGAAAGGTTAACGTGAGGTAAAGCCTAACAACCTAAGAGGCACTTAGAGGATCAGGGGACTTAGTAAGTAGGGTTATCGGCAAGGCCACTACAGTTGTATCTACTTCTACTTATAACCCTAACTAAGGTACTTATAACACTACTTACTAAGTCCCATGATCCTTTAAGTAGGGTTTCCTAGGATTCAGGGATAGCGTAGACTCCCGTGAACTTCGGGATTGCTGTTGCTCCACGGTTGAGGGTTTAGGGTTGATGGTAGAAAATCCTGCATTACCTGAATGACCCTAGACTATGGGAATTATGGTATATTCCTTATTGTTCTGGGTAATGCAAGATTTATGTCTTCAACCGTATGTCTTACAACTAGCATTGTTACTCGGCACTACTAGATTTTACTCTTCGAAATATGGCTATTGGCGTCATTATTCAAGACGAATACAAAGAACTCAATACGTATATGCTGCTATGTGCTAATTATAATTCCCCTGTAGCCGGGTTGAATGATATGTATGGTTTACGGATGAGGGTAACATAGATATACCAGGCTATTAACTCAATAATACCCTTGTTACGGATTGTTACTGCCGGGGGCCAGTACCCAACACTAGGCATGAATTTGGGATAGTTTCTAATTGCCCTTATTGTATAATACAGAGTCCTAATTCTAAATAGTTTTGGGGACTGCTGAAATCAACACCGAGACCAAGTACTTCTAACTCTACCTTTTACCTGCTTACTACGCTCCCCGACCCTCCAAGTACCCAGCAAGGAAATGAAGAAGACTTATAAATCTTATGAATCCTATAAAGCCTTTTCCCCTGGTGATTTTCGTGACGTTTCGGCAGATCTCAAAACAGCTGTTCAAAAAAGAGCCTTAAACCGAAGTACCCAAGAGGAAATGAAGTATGAACCTACAGAACTACTATCCTAAACCCAAGTACCTTATTATGGGGTCCTCTCTTGGCGGGTCGGGGGACTGAGTAACTGGTTATTTTAGGGACTTATAAGTACCATAACCCCAATTAGGGTCCCCTTTTAGGGTACTTATAGGTCTACTTACTAACCACTAACTAAGTCCCCCGACCCCCCAAGCTGGGCCCCATGGGGTTTCTGTGGGGGGGGGGGGGGGCAGTACCCAACTTAGGATGTCCTTAAGGGGGGGTGGTCCAAGGGGGGTAGGTAACCTAGTAATCCCCATTATTCCCCAATACTCCCTAAGCTTCCCTAAGGTTCCCCAAAGCTCCCTAGTACCCTCCCCCCTTGAACCACCCCCCCTTAAGGATCCTATATCCAACAGGAAGTGAAGAAGATTGTGGACAACCTCAGCGACGCGGAGCTCTCGGACATCCTCAAGGCAGGCAAGGGCTTTGGGGGCTTTAGGGTGTTTGGGTTTAACGGGCTTAACTTAAGGTTTCAGGGTTTAGGTTTCAGGGTTTACTTTTACGTTATCTGCCAGAACCTACCTTGTACAATGTATACGGATTTACAATAAGAACCTACACGAGGTAGCTGCTGTTTGTTTGCGGCAGGGTTCAGAGAAATAAACTTTGTAGCGGAGGCAAGCTGACAGACGTTACGCCGTCGTGGCCCTTTCCAAGTTCCCAAAAGCGGGAAGTTTGTACATTTTGGCCTATGGACAGCACAGCAAAGATGATGCTTGTGGGGGCTTCTGAACACGAATTCGCATCGCCGCCGGCGAGTGCATGCAGCATTTGACCCTGAGTAACCACCGTAGCTTCCTGCGAGATTTTGCGAGCTTGTAACACCACTGTGATTTTTTGTCTTAGTTAACCTTGGAAAGTCTGGGGGACAAGCTTTCGGTAGTGGTCCGATCCTGACATCGTGGGATCCCGTAGCCATGCGCGCAGCCTGACGGGCTCAAAGCTTCAATGGCGTAAAAGGCTTTCTGAATCCTGTAGAAAGATCCACAAAAGCTTTTGAGCAACCCTTGAAAGCCCAGTGGAGCCCTGAAAGAAGCCTGCGGTGACGCGGTCACCGCAGACTGCCAGCTTTGACCCAAAGAAAGAGAAGCCGTAACCTCTAAACCCTGAAGTGTAGCTTCAAGCTTTCCAGAATCCCATGCCATTCGGGCAAGGAGAAGCCCCATAGTTGATTCAGTTTTACGGTTTGAGGGCTTGCAGGGCTGAACTTAACCCCTAGTCCGCAAAATCGCGGGCGGCACCATCAGTATTTGAGTCCAAAAACCTTGGCGGCACATGCGAGCCTTCACAATCTGTTTGGAGGATCGTGGGACCGTAAGTAGGGTTATAAGTAAGGTAACTACAGTTATATCCATGTATATCTACCTAACTAATACCCCAATTAAGGTGCTTATAACCCTACTTCTATACAAGTAAGTAACAGAGGCATATGACATATCTACAGTTCCCTCACTTGTAAGCATACACTTACGAAGCCCCTGATCTTCCAAGTAGTCTACCCACAGGCCCCAAAGTAAATCCTTCTTGAGGTTCATATATAGAATCCTATAAGGTCATCCCAAAGAGGAACTACTTTGCGGCCTGTGGGTACTGACAGTAAACCTGAACACCCTATAACTTTGTCATAGTTGGGCAACATTTTACATGATTCTGGGTACTTAAACCCAATAAGGAACGCATTTTCCTAGTTTTGTTTCCTACTATGCCGACCATGAACTAGATAAGAAACTCTTATAGATCCCTTAAGAAACCCTTTGAGGTCCCCAAACCCTGGGCCCTTATAGATCCCATTAAAGGATCCCTTCGAAGGGTCCCTGGTGTCCCCAGGTCCAGAAAGCGGAGGAGCCAGGTAACGAGCCGAAAGTGGAGAAGTTTCTGTCGGATGCGCTGAAATGGCCTGTGCCAGAGACTATCCAACAGGAGGAGATGTGAGACCATCCCTCCAAAGGTCATAGGAGGCCAAAAGCGGTTTTAGCCTATGGGGGCTTAGTAGGGATTAGGGTTCCCATAATAGGGTTCACATTAAGGAATCCCTACCCTAAGAATCTTAAACCCCCTTTTGGCCTCCCATCAAAAGGGTCCCAGGTACCGTTATGGGGTATACCTTCGTGGTGATTCTAGTATATAGGTACTTTGGACCCTTTGCGCCCGTAAGCTCCAGCAACAGCTCTGGAATCGCTTCGTGGGGTCGGAGACCCCACACTGTCGAAAAGAAGTAGACCCGTAAAAAAACTCCTCGTTGGGGCTTTCCCGAGACTGCGGTGGCTCCAGAGCTCAAAGACGGGTCGGGCTCGCGACGCGCGACAGTCAGTTTGAACGGCTCGAGGGACCCAGTCCTTGGGTTTTTTTTATAGTTATAGCTGGCCCTAAACCCTAAACCCTAAACCCCTAAAAAATAAATGCTTAAACCCTAAACTCTAGAACCCTGTAAACCCTTAGTAGCCGAGTGGATACACTTGACACCTTTTGGGAGAATATTTCCCTACTATAAAACTGAAAGTGGACACTTTTGGGGGGGCTTATGAACTCGGCAACTAGGTTATAGTTGGTCCTCACAAAACCCATTGAACCATACATCCTTAAACTTTATATAGGGGTTTAGGGTCTAGGGTTTAGGGTTTAGTTGTAGCTGGTCTTCACAAACCTCTAGACCATAAATCTTGCAATTCTCGGCCATGTACTCGACAGTAAGCTTTAGCTCGTCGAGACGGCACAGTCGAACGGAGAATTGGTACTTTCTTCGTTGTCTGGCTTTGGGCTGAAAAGGCCCAAACTTTCCCAAAATAAATATACCTTACATTATAGTAGGATCTCTGATATGAAGGTACATTCTTTAATTCTCAGAATTTGGAGTCTCTGGGAACCGTAACTTATCAAGGAAGCAGGGTCAAGAAAGCTCTTGGGTTCCTGTTTTTTCAAGGAGAGACTTGTAATGCAGGCCCCTGACTACAATTGAGGGTTCTACCAGGACCTGGAGTAGGCCCTTATGCCTTTTGTAGGGTTCTGGTTCCTTTATCGGCCCTTTAAACCAAAGAGGGCGCCCTTTTTATTCCTAGGTTACTCTCGGGTCTAGTCTAGTAATCTTCAGATTGGCATCTCTGCTATAACCCTTTGTAATGTAGGGAAGTTTGCTCATCAGAACAACCGAAAGTTAGCGGTTTAGGCTTGCAGTAGAAGCCTAAAAGTTGGAAACCCAATAGCCTGAATCCTTAAGAGTAATGTATAGGTTTCCAACTTTACGGGGTTTACTGTAGGGGTTCAGGGTTTAAGGTTTACGCTTGAAAGGTTCCTTAGCTTCGAAGGGCAATATACTTGGAGGATCATGGGACTTAGTAAGTAGGGTTCCTTTAAGAGACCTAGAGGGGTACTGTAAGGGTTCAGGGTTTAGGGTCTACTTTATTTGGAGGATCATGGGACCTAGTAACTAGGGTTGTAAGTAAGGTAAATATGCTTGTATCTAATTGTAACCCATAATTGAGGTACTTATAGCCCTACTTACTAAATCCCATGATCCTGCAAGTAGAGTGGAGTATTTACAGGACGTTTACACGCTGGAGCTCAGTGAAGAAGCCTTGATGCTGGCGCCCTAGAAGCGTACTGAGCCATGGACCCGAAGCCCCATCTCCTAAAACCCTAACCTCTAGAACCCTAAACCCGACAAACTAAAACCCTACACCCCGGCCCCTGAACCAAACCCTAAACCCTGAACCCTACACCCCAAACCCTGAACCGAACCCTAAACCCTAAAGCCCTAAACCCTAAACCCTGAACCCGAAACCCTAACCCTAAACCCCTAAGCCCCTAAGCCCTAAACCCTAAACCCCTAAAACCCAAATCCCTAAACCCTAAACCCTGAAGCCTGTAAGGCTGGATCTCCAAGCCCGGACTAACGGGGTCCCACTTAAGAGCCGTTCTTTGGGAGTTTCCGAAAATTGAAGAGTACCTTATTATTTGGGTCCTTATAATAAGGATCCTACTATTTAAGGTACGATATTAGGGTACCCTGTTTTCGGAAACTCCCACTTATATCTTTCTAGATTTCGCCGCTTCGGTGATCAGCCATTCGCCGTTTCTACAGGATCCTGAAAGGGGGGATTCTTCAAGGGGGGGATGGCACCAGGGATGCTTGGGGAGCCACGGGCGCACTAGGAATAGCTGGAGGATCATGGGACTTCGTAAGTAGGGATATAAATAAGGTAACTATAGCTCTATTTACCATACCCCTAACTAAGGTACCTATAATCCTACTTAATAAGTCCCGTGACCCTTTAAGCAGAGATGTTTGGGGAGCCATGAGCGCACTAGGGAGAATAGGATACTACTAAGATGGGAACCTGAGTGATTGATTGGTAATCGTATCTTCTTGATATAGTCGATATAGTCCAAAGCTATAAGATCCCACAGCGCTATTCTAGATATCAAGGAGCCCCCCTTGGACACCCCCACCTTAAGGATCCCATCGCAGAGTTTTGAGCCGAAATTAGGTTTGCGTGTTGTGCTGCGTGCCGTCCGCAATCGGATGCTATGTGCACCACTCGGCGGCCTACGTCGTGTCGAATCCCGAAAAAGCCTGCTGCAGAGAGATTTCGAAGAGCCAAGGGTCTTGAACCCTTGCACCGTAAAATCTCAACGTCGAAAAGCATTCAACCTGAACCTAAAACCTACATATTACCGTAGTCGTAGGGTAGGTAAGAAGGTTTCTATCATCCCTTTATGTAACCCCAGAGGTTTACCTTTTTCTAGTTCCCCTAGGATATTGGACACCAAAGAAACCGGAGTCCCTGAACCCCCAAACCTTAAACCTAAACTCTATAAACCCTAGACACTAACTCAAAACCCTAAACCCTACAATAAACCCTGACCCAAAACCCTAAAACCTATAACAGCAGCCCCCAGTTCTGCTTCTTTTTGCCGACCTTCCGTGCTAAGCACGAAGGCATCTTTTTCCAGGTGAGCCTCGCATCCTGACGAAAGGGCGCTTGGTTTGGGGTGCCACGAATGTAAACCTACTAATACTCAAATAATTCCTTCGGGCACCATGTACAAATATGCCGTAGTATGCCTCCAGTTTGGGGACATTGGGCGAACAGTAGATTCCAGGTAAGATCTTTAGGTTTTTGAGCCCTCTTGGGCTCGTGTCAGATTCTGCAAGGGTTCATGATACTATACCTATAGACGCATATCCATCCTCTAAACAACGAACTACCAGAAATTTGACGGCTTAAAGCGCGAAGCTGCAAACTGTTTGGTCTACCGCCCAGCCAACATCTTTTGACCAAGCAGCATAGCTTTTGTTACATTTAGGGCTCCTTCTGTAAGATCTGCAGCCGCAATGTATTCAGTGTCTTGGCCGTGTTGTGCTACACTGACAGTATGTTCCAACCACCCAGAGAGCCCAATACCCCTTAATTAAGGAATATGGCTTAAATTATAAAGGGCTTCATGCTTTGATTCTAGCTATATGCCTTAATTCCATTATAGAACGCTTATGGATCCCTTAAAAACAACCCTCACGGACTATAGGGTTTAGGGTTTCGGGTTCAGGGTTTCGGGTTCAGTCTTTTGGGGTTCCACAGAGGGTCCAAGTACCCAAATAGTAGGGTTTTAGGTCCCCAAAATCCCCTAAACCTAAACCCGAAACCGTGAATGGTTTTTGGACCTTGAAACCTTACTATTTGTGTACTTGGACCCTCTGGGTTCTGCCCTTGGTGCCAAGATCTCCCAACAATAGTGTGGGAGAAGAACCCTAGGACTAGTAAGTAGGGTTCCTGTACAGGGATCTCTTTAAGGGATGTATAGGGTGCTATAAGGGTTGAGGGTTTAGGGTCTACTTGGAGGATCATGGGACTTAGTAAGTAGGCTTATAGGTAAGGTAATTATAGATGTATCTACTTATAACCCCAATTAAGGTACTTATAACCCTACTTACTAAGCCCCATGATCCTCTAAGTAGGACTCCAAGTCTATAAAGCGTACCTAGCTTGGGCTACTTGGGTCTTCGGGGAAGAGATGCCTAGTTATGGGCTGTTGGGCTTTCTGTGAATCCAAGGGTAAAGGGAGGGACCCTTCATAAGGACCCCTAGGTATATACCCTTAATATAGCTATTATATACCCATTATATAGCCCCATTATATCAGGGTCCCTCCTTTTACCCTTGAAGTGAAGCCGGCCAAGCAGGATTGCTAGTGCTCGAACAGTTCCCTCAGGTTGGCACAACCCCCACTGGTCTGCCAGAGGTCTGCCAGAAACGTTCATGGTGTGTGGGTGTGATGCAGTTCGGGGAATATGCTTGAAGGATTTTAATAATCAAACTATTAATAGTTCCTGAACTTCAGAAGCTCAGCTTTTGGGACTTCTAACAAGAGCCTGAGTGTTTTCGGCTCCTTAGGTGCAGGTTCCCCCGAAAAGGGTTACGGCACAAAAAGAGATTGAAACCACAACCTCATAAAATTCCTCCTGCGTTTCCTTACATGATTGGGGGTTCAAGCAGCAGGGGTCTACATGACATAGCATTACCCTTCTTCCCTCCACCCTAAGCCCTAAACCCTTGTGCCATCAGTACCTCGCAGGTTTTAGATTTGAGCTGGGCAAAATTTCAAAAATCTCCCATTGCACTCTTGTGGGGTCACCTACAATACGCAGCTTTTAAGCTTCCTGGGTCTTCATATTTTGGTAGTATTCCTCTGGAAACTTTACATCTGTTAGCTTATGGGAGACTTTAGATCTACACAAAAGCTCTCGCGTAAGTTTTTCCGCAGCTGTACCGTGACAGAGTTTCTGCGCAGGCCAGAGGCTTGTTCCCCTGCCGGAGCGATTTTTTTGCATAGCCCAGACCACTCTCCGGATTTCAGGTTCATAGCTTTGAGGTTTCCTGTGCGTTGCGAAGTATGATACTACAGCGTACCAAACTGGGAGGTTTCTTGTTTA